GGCAGCAGTAATAGCAGCATTGTGGACTCAGTTTCAACAGTCGACCACCCACGAACCCATTACACTGCGGTCACCGAACGGAGGTCTAGAGCCCCAGTACACAACTGTCGCTCACCCTTCGCCTGGTCTAGAATGTTGGGTCATCACTTAATTCTACTGAGCTATGTACACATACAGCATCTTCCAGACCACCTCGCAGCACTTTTCCCGACGGTCGTGAGCGACGGTGTCTATCGTGTGCTCCACGGCATGGCGATCGTAGGGACAGTGGAGTGTCCTTGAATGAGTTTATGGTGACAGTCAACTTGCACAGCACCTCCCGCACTTTCTTTTCCCCACCCCTTTCACCAAATCCTGAGAACGCAAACACACCTAAGTTGTGCAACATTCTACTCGGTCGCACACCAGCACACGACACCTGCCAACAACGTCCCATGCAAAACTGATGTGGTGTGATTCCACAACACTGTGACGACGATTGGCACGTCGCATGTAAGAATGCGCACGGTTCATTTCCGCGAGAGGCGTGACATTTGGCGTGGCGTGGTACACGTGGAGCAGATACTGGGTCGTGTTTAGCAAGCGTAGATAGGCCGTTTAGCGGTATCAGCCATTGAGCCGAATGCCGTTCCCAGTCGTCCTGACCCAGGACATTCGACTGGCGCGTCGGAGAGAGGGACGAGACCGAGGCTGATGGTGTGACACGCATCCTCGCAGCATGTCAATGCTGGAAGCCGTGGAAGCCGTGTAAGTCTGTTTTGATAATAAACTGCTGGGCGCATGTCGTGGGGCAACGGCGGATGTCGACATCCGCTGCGATCGATGTCCGTAACAGACGCCCGTAATAACATTCTGACCATATCATGAGACGCCTGTGTACGCAACCTTGTGCGTCTACACGTGCGTGCGTGCGCCCGCCTTAGCCATCTAGGCAAATGCCTGTCCACAAACTGGGTCGTTAAGCCTGTTCGCTCGGAGCACCGCCTCGTTGCCAGATAATCGATCGGTAGGGAGGCGGATTTAACTGCGACAGCCAGTTGAGGGCCTAACGCAGCAGTAACAGCAAACAGTCCACAGGCGATAGAAGCCAAAGCCGTCGATGTTAAAACCCTGACGAGATGATC